AATGGGTCGACCGCGGAAGAACCACGCTCTCACGGAATACCACCGTAAAATAGTAGCTGTTTCGTATGGTGAGTGTAGAGAACCGGAGACCCTTTTTACTAGAAATGAGGCATTCCATCATAGTCCTCACGGATGACAACGCATAGCTGCATTTTGACTCCTAACCGAGGATACATATAGGTGTCTACGGGCCAGTGCAACCACTTACCATCAGGTGGACTGTGTGCTCGTTTGTCACCCTGTCCTATAAAAAATGTTTATATGTGTAATATGCATGCGTATTATCTATATCTTATTAGAAACGTGTAAGGAAATTGAAACTCAAATTTAAATGCGATGTCTTGATAACAACATATTCAATAATGTGTAACAATGCAATATATAAAAATATATTTTAATAATAATTTCCACTCAAAATTTACTCGTGAAATATAACAAAGTTTTACAATAAGAAGATATACTTATATATTTTTAAATACATATTCTAGTCATAAATCTTTTAAAAATATTTAACAAAATGATAAGTTCACTTAATATTATTTCAACAAAAAGGCTACGAGAGCCGTACTAAAATAAACGTTATTTGCTTAAAGAATATGCAAATTGAACTAAGGACGATTAATAATAGCAGGCCCCAACAAGGGTTGAATTCAGTTATGTTTCATTTATTGTAAATTCAATGAAAATAGTTGGATCACAAGTAATACCTAAACCAATATTTTTTACCTATCCCTATTTTTATTTTTATATTTAAGCCGTGTAGTGGCGGTTAAGAATATCCACTACCCCATATCTTCCCGTGGGTGTTGTAAAAGGCGACAGAGGGAAACAGGCAGGAGATGTGCAGCAGCATCTTCCTGATAACAGCAACTGTACGACAAAAAAAACTGCGGTTGCCAACCCGCTCGCCAAGCGTGGCAACTATAGCAATATGGGGTATATTGAACTGCATACCATGAACAATTACACAAATAGACGGCCCCCAGTCCCCGGCGGCCCCGCTATTCCTGGCTACGGTGGCGACCATGGTAACGGCGGGGCAGGGGGTGCTAAGAATCTCCGGTGGAGGTTCGGTTGCCACCTACGACGACTCGACCTGGCAACATTTAACGCCGCACCCTGAGGACTGACGAGAAGATCCTGGAGCTGGAAGAAGAGATAGACAAGTTGCGCTGGAATATTATAGGATTATCCGAGGTCCGAGGAGAGGGGGAGAGGACACGGTGATTCTCGAATCCGGCAACTTGTTCTATCACCGGGAGGGCGACCATCTGTCCCAAGGAGGTGTCGGATTTATCGTCCACAAGTCTCTCGTCAACAACGTTGTAAAGATTGGGAGTGTGTCGACGAGGGTCGCGTACCTGATACTCAGAATCACCAAACGGTATTCGCTGAAGGTCATACAGGTTTACGCACCAACCTCGGCACATCCCGATGAGAAGGTGGAGGAAATGTATGAGGATATTTCCAAAGCCATGCATTCCTCCAAAACCCCCTACACGGTGTTGATGGGAGACTTCAACGCAAAACTAGGCACAAGAGAAAACGGTGAGCTGAAATTAGGGAAATTTGGAGTGGGGCAACGAAACCGAAGGTGCCAGCAGCTGGCCGACTTTATGGAGAAAGAGGGACTCTTTATGATGAATTCTTTCTTCCAGAAGCGGCCCCACAGGAAGTGGAACTGGTCGAGCCCCGACGGTTCGACAAAAAATGAGATTGACTTCATTATAATGACAATGACCAAACGCCAACTGGATGTTCAGTGATCGCAAGGGTGAAAACTGGCAGCGATCACCGAATGGTTAGAGGCACACTGAACCTAAACGTTAAGTTGGAGAGGTCTCGTCTAATGAAGTCAACGCTCCGTCCCCCTCGTGCTCTAATCCAGAATCCCGAAAACTTTCAGCTCGAGTTACGTAACCGCTTTCAGTGCCTACACGATTGCAATGCAGTGGAAGATATGAATGACAAGCTCGTGGAAACTGTCCGCGGTCGGAGCTAAGTTCTGCAAGACCCGCCGCAGAAGAACACAAAAACTCTTCGATCACACTCTTAATCTCATGGCTGTTAGACGGGAGATGAGGCTGCAATCGTCAACAGATTTGACAGCATACAGGCAACTGAACAGACAGATCTCCAAATGCATGCGGTAAAACTTACGCAACTTTAATACTGCTCGTATTAAAGAAGGGGTCGACCGGAACCAGGGCTCAAAAGTCTTTGCCAGAGATCTGTCTGCAGTAAGAGCCAACTGTCAAAGCTGAAGACTGAGTGTGGCAGCATCGTTTCCGGGACACCTGAGATTTTGAGTAAGATTGAGAGGTTCTATGGGCAGCTGTACACATCATCGTTGGAGCCACACGCAAGTGTGAGTAACGATCCACGAGCAAGTCTTATCCGACACTATTCCGATGATATCCCGGACGTCAGTCTAAACGAGATTAGCGAGGATTAGGCGAGGATGGAATTACAGCGGAGCTTCTGAAAGCGGGTGGAACACCGGTACTTGAAGTCCTTCAGAAGCTCTTCAATTCCGTCCTCCATGGTGGCACTACTCCAGAGGCGTGGAGCAGAAGTGCGGTGGTCTTGTTCTTTAAGAAAGGCGACAACGCTCTCTTGAAGAACTACAGACCGATCTCCCTTCTGAGCCGCGTCTAAGTGCTGTTTTCGAGAGTCATTACGAATCCTCTCGCACGCAGACTCGACGACTTCCAGCCTCCCGAACAAGCCGGTTTCCGAAAAGGCTTCAGTACCATAGACCACATACATACCCTGCGGCTGATTGTACAGAAGACTGAAGAGTACAATTTGCCACTTTGCCTGGCGTATGTGGACTATGAGAAAGCCTTTGATTCCGTCGAAATTTGGGCGGTGCTACAGTCCCTTCAGCGGTGCCAAGTTGACTGTCGGTATATCGAAGTGCTGAAGCGTTTGTACAGTAGGGCTACGATGGCTATTCGAGTACAGAACCAGAGCTCGAAAACTATCCAACTGCAGAGAGGTGTAAGACAGGGTGACGTTATATCCCCGAAACTCTTCACCGCTGCATTGGAAGACGTTTTCAAGCTACTGGACTGGAAAGGATACGGTATTAACATCAATGGCGAGTACATCACTCACCTTCGATTTGCCGACGATATAGTCCTTATGGCAGAATCGCTGGTGGACTTAAGCACTATGCTCAATGACCTCAATAGTGCATCCCAACGGATAGGTCTTAAGATGAACATGGACAAAACAAAGATTATGTTTAATGTCCATGTCACACCTATGCCGGTAGTTGTTGGGAGCACTATGCTCGAAGTTGTTGACGAGTACGTTTACCTGGGACAAATAGTCCGACTAGGTAAGTCCAACTTCGACGGCGAGGTCAATCGTCGGATTCAACTCGGCTGGGCAGCGTTCGGGAAATTACGACATATCTTCTCGTCAGGTATACCTCAATCTCTAAAAACTAGATTGTACAACCAGTGCATGTTGCCAGTGATGACTTACGGATCTGAGACGTGGTCCTTCACTGCTGGCCGTATCAGGACGGTAAAGGTCGCTCAGCGAGCTATGGAGAGGGCTATGCTCGGAGTTTCTCTGCGTGATAGACTCAGAAATGAGGATATCCGCAGTAAAACCAGAGTGACCGACATAGCCCAACGGATTAGTATGCTGAAGTGGCAATGGGCGGGCCATATAGCTCGAAGAACCGATAACCGATGGGGAAGAAAGGTTCTCGAGTGGCAGCCTCGTACTGGTAGGCGTAGTGTAGGGCGACCCCCCACTAGATGGAGTGACGACCTGGTAAGATATGCAGGAAGTGGATGGATGCAGGTGGCTCAGGACCGTGCTTTGTGGCATTACTTGGGGGAGGCCTATGTTCAGCAGTTGACTTGTAAAGGGCTGTAATGATGATGATGATGATGACCTTATTTTGGGAACAATGAGGGTTTTGGTTTTTTACACTTTTGATAACCTGAAAATAATTGTACCTATAGTATTTTTCTTTAAAGTAAATTACGGGTCAGCAAATTTTAATGCAGTTTTATGTTTAACAAATCATAATTGATAGAATCGTATGTTACTTTGCGGAAATCCATTATAATAAAGTTTTAGTAGTTAATTGGCAACCATCCGCATTAATTTATTATTTATTTAGAATTAATGCGGATGGTTGCGAATTAACTACAAAGAATATTAACAATGCTATAAACATTACTAATATTCACCTTAACCACTTGTGGTAAGCTTAAATAGCTTGTGTTACGAGTGGTTCACGCCAGTAGTCGAATGGTGGATTCGAACCCACGACCTTTTTGAGTTCGCGGTCCGCGCCCTGCCATTAGGCTACTGTCATAGAATCACATAATCACAAAATCATCATACTGGCAAATCATAGAAAATAAAAAACTTAAATAATATAGACAATTAAATTTCTTGGACTCGAATTCCAACTTAAGTTCATTATTTATTAATTTTTAACATATTTACTATTTCAGCTAATTTTATGTGTTAGTAATTTTATTATACATAATTATAATGTAAATAAGGACACAAATTGTTTTCTATAACAAAATTCAACAAATGAACTAATGTTCGATATGCCACATATTTTATACAACATGTAACTAGCTAACTTAGATAATAATAACAAGTATTGTATGAAATATACAAAATGTACACTATACAAACAGCGGCGCGACTTGTGAGCGTGTACGTCTTCCAGCCAATAGACTGCAGGCGAATGCCATGAATATACATCATAAAGAATGACTAAGATTAACTAACGGACCAATCACGTGAAAATATGTTCACAGTACCCACTCCATGCCTTAGTATTTCACCAAAGCGACCTTTATGCCTTTATACCTTTATATAATTGACTATTATGCATTTCAAAGCTGTGCTCACGAGTCGTGCCGCATGTATACTTTAATGAAATGTTTAGCTATGATATAATTGTATACCTATATAAATTCTTTTTAATGTGCAAATTAAATAATATTAAACAACTATGGTGTATAATTTTGTTCCCGTAAAACTCCATGAACTAACGTTCTCAAGGACTGTGGCTTGCAATACTCTTCCAGCCAGTTGAATACGCCTGCAGAGAATTCCGCAAAATTGTTGGTGGGTACCGATTCAAATGACTCGAACAACTTATCCATAATGCCCTGAAACTGAAATAAAATAAGTTACTATTTCTGAATTGTTGACCTCCTGCTATATAATATTGAATACAAAAGTTTTGAATAAAATTATTTTAGAAAGCAGTAGGAGGCCCGGCAGATGTTGTTCCGCCCTTTCTGGAGGAGGAGTGGAGCAATGATTTTCACTCCAAATTCCATATTATATTAACTTGACAATAACACCAATTAATAAATCAAGATTATATGATTTTTATTTTAGGCACTAAGCCAACTGTTATATATATTTATATATAACAGTTGGCTTATAAGTGTAATACATATACCATATGTTATTATTTATAACACTATTCACTGTAAATTTAACATAATATACAAGTTCTACTAGTCCTCTAGGTACATGACATAAGCGTTTTCAGGAATATGCATTCCTGAAAATACCTATGTCCAGCACTAAACTTGAAGACACTGCTGATGTAATACCATTTTGCGACCGTGGTAGCTCAGATATCCATGGCCCTATATTTTAGAGTACATAAGAAATACAACAATAAATATTACACATAGACTTTACTTGAAGACCATTAAGACAGCATTAAGCTGTTGTTTTTATATGCTTTATACCAATATAAATGATTACATCTATAACTTGTAATTAAAAATAAAATACTAACAACTTGAAATTTGTCCTGATCAGTTAATCTCTGTTCATTGTGTCCAGGCACAGAGTGTTGAGCTTTGACAATTTGTTCATAATTGGCCTGCATTATGCGTAATGCTACTACATCCTTCCGTAGAGCATTTCTTTCCTCTTCTTGTCGTCTTCTTTGTTGTAGCAGATATTGAATATAATCAATTGATTTCTGGAGAACCTTAGTGATAAAAATAAAACAATTGAACTGCTTTTAATTTATTTAAAGGAAACATACATATTATATAATCCCAACTTAGTAGTTGGGATTTTATAATATGTATATCTACTGAAACTAAATAATTGATTTTGGTTTGACCCCAGGATTTGAACCAGGGACCAGATGATCAGCAGTTATCCTTACAACTGCTGGACCAATAAGTGAAACCTAAGTTTAAGCAAGTAGTGTGTAGTTTTGAGTTATGGAAGTATCTAGTCAGCCATCAACGGTTGTTAAATAAAAATTAATATCCTCCTGCTAGCGGTAGGGTCAAAAATAATGCTATTGTTCCATATTACTTTATTGGTTATCCTCTTTCTTACTCCTGTTAAGGTGCAATTTTAAATATATATTGTATCATAGCATAGTGACAAAACATAGTGGCAAACTAAAAGAAAAAGATCTGCTTAAAAACTTAATGCATTGCATTAGTTACAATAGTATAGGTCGTGCCACATAAGATGAAATTAAAATGGAGTCCATTGCGCATGTACAATCAAGCAGAAAAATGAAAATTTTATTATGGCATTTTTTCTTGGTTTTAACTGCTTCTAAATAATATTCTGCATTTTATGTACACTTAGTTAAAGAAATAAAATATTTTGTATTTGTGGTAATTGCTGTTTAAATTATACTAAGCGATAGCCTTCGATTATAAGGATATTTTACATGCAATAATTTGCAAAAAAAAATAATCTTGTAGAAAATAACAAAATATTTACAACTTTATACAATATACTACGAACTATTCCGTTTTAAATAGTCCCAAAATAATTTATAAAGTAATAAATATTTGCACACAATTTGAAAATATTATAGAACAATATTTTTAAAAGTACAAAAATAATTGCAAAAATTTAATATTTTATAACAGGTAGTCGCTAACACTTTCGATATGATAGTACACAAGACGACACAAGAAGATGCGCGGGCGACGGGACGCAGGAAGAAACTACTCGGGAGTAGCGCGTCGCCCGTTGCTATGGTTTCGCTTCCCCGTACCTCACACCTCACCGTGCCGACACCAATTTTTCGGTTCTGCGCACTTCCATAACTCGTAGTGTTACCTACATTATTACATTGAATTCATTTTTGTCAAAATATGAAAGCAGCTATCAAGTAATATCAGGGACAGTAGGTAGAGGTACATTCAAATCCATCACAGTTGGGTTGCCCTCTATGCCCTACCTTTTCTTTTCCTCCCCTTTTCACACAGTAGGATACAAAAAAATTTACTGCATGATAAATAGAATCATATTTGTTTTTGTTCTACCTACAGTGGCAGAATAGCTTTATTTTTACTGGAAATGAGGCATTCCATCTTAGTCCTCTGCATTTTGATTCATAATCGAGGATAGATGTAGATGTCCATGGGCCACAGCAACCACTTACCATCAGGTGGACTGTGAGCTCATTTGTCACCCTATCCTATAAAATTTTTTTTTACATAAATCATTGCGTCCACTGATGGCAGACTAGACACTTCCTTTAGTTTTTGTTTATCAAATATAATAAACAATTAAAATCATGTTACTTGCTTTTTTAATTTCATTGACTTCTATAATTTAGCTAAAAGGTTGCAGCAACTACAGTTTAGATGGCTTATTTAAAATGTATTATTTACACAACACTAGTGAAAACACCTATACCAGATAAAAATACCCAGGTGACAACAATATCAGGAGTGAGAGATATCAAGAGCCGAGGTCACCAAATTACAACTACAGCAAATCCTTTAAATAATAGAACATGCCTTCATCCGACAATATATATAATAGTTTTTGAGGCTAATGATGAGGAATTTATTTTCCAATCAACCTGATCCATTTACAACATCTGTATATAACATTAAAGGAGTAGTACATGGAAAGAAATGGCAACATAGTTGGAATACTTATGCTTCATAGGGGTTAGAACTTATATTACAAATGTCATTCTTGAATACAAAGTATTTGATATTGAGTATTCGAGACATTGGAGTAGCCATCTTCTCAATATTCTACAAGATAATTTTTGTAGTGTGGACACAGGAATTACTTTCCTTGATTCCTCATCCCACTTTTGTCAACTTGGAAACTATCGCTTTACTTTGTTGATTGTTGATGTAGAAATCACTTTCCAGTGTTTGCACTTTCATACAGTTACATTATGAGTGATTTAATGGCAAGTGAGGCTAAGCCAACCCACTTTGTAAATCTATTACTACATTACTAAGTAGTCAAGCACTGCTATATTTTACAGTATAAGTGACCTATAATGCTATATTTTTCTGTAATATAAATATATATCCTTATATAACTACAATACTATAGATACTTACAGCTGCTTTACTCGGCTTATAACCAGATGCATCAGTTTGTTGACAAGTGGGGACTAACTCCTGCAGGGAATCATAACCCTTTTTTATAGCATCTCTTCTTTTTTGTTCTGCCTGTGGAATAATTATATAAAATTTTTCATACAATAAATAATATAATTATGTATTTTATCTAAACTAACAAAAATAACAAAAGCGGCTTAAGAATTTATTAGTTGTGTAACATGGCTTGCTGACACCATGACCCCTAGAGTCAATAATGACACCCCTTAAACCCTGCCACCTGTCATTTTTATACCACATTAAAATATAAATTTGGTAAAAGATTTTTATAGATGGTGTCCCTATATTAACCAAAAATTTATTAAAAAATGTAGGTCTTTCCCCCCTTGGCAAACATAATATATACAAATACGTTATACAAATACGTCAATTTGGTCCAGTATTATGAAGTAGACATCCAGTACTTGATTTTAATTATGTTTACAGATTAGAAGGTTTGTCAGGGATAAGCTTAAAGCTTTTACACTATTTTTGGATTTTGGATGTGTTTTGAATTAATTACGATAAAAATAAATTTCACTATAAATGACATATAACAAAATACGAACATATCAATTTGTTTTTTTTTTACCAATAAGAATTTAATCACTTGGATCCAGACAATTTATTTGTGGCTGAAGATGGGATTTCATACAAAAAAAATTGAGTCACAGTGGAGGGAAGTCAAGAGGTTCTTAGAAAATAAAATTATAACAATTCATATTACATTGTTTCATTTACCACTATGAAAGCAGAGATTACCATACCTGACTTTATAGATAAAATAGATTGAATCTGTACTATAACCAAATTACTATGCCCTGACTCCTAGTCTTGTCTCCCCTACCCCGAGTTTTTGTGAAGCTGTGGGCACAGAGGGAGAGCAGTAACCCCCCCCACCTGCTGTAGCAAATCGCATGCACCTGTGCAAGTCGTAGTGACCGAGGCTGGGCGCCGAAGACGTTACCAATAAGCCAAAGCAGCGAAGATGTGCAAGGGCGAAGATGCTTCACTTACCGCGGCGCCGAAGCCATTTCAGACATAACTTCGGATTAATATTTCTATTTAAAAAGTGAGGTTATGATTTTACAAAAAAAATCATTACTCAAACAATACTTTTGAGCCCTACCTACACTTCCCCACAAGGGGGAAGTGTAGGTGGGGCTTCCTTTGAACACAGCTACTCCCCCCCACTCCTTTTCGTCCTTCCCCAAGTACCGGATGTCCATATTTTTACTTAATTTTCTTAAACTATTTCAATCTGGTAAAAGTATTTTGTAAGTTCTTTAACATTTTAAAAAGACTTAAATATCCATTAATAGTACACAAGATTTTATTATTTTTTTAATAGAATAGGGGCAAAGAAGCATACGGCTCTCCTGATGGTAAGTGACTACCACCGGTTGAAATTTAGAATCGTTTGGCAGGAATTTGGAGGAGTAAGGTGTTTTATTTGGTAGAGGTTTGGTCCCCGATTATAACAATGCCACTCCCATTAAAAGGTAATGCACCGTTCTTGGGAAAAATCAAAAAGAAAATCCCATAGAACTAACCTCAAAATCATAACTCAAAATGAATTAAGGGGTGGTGGAGAGGGAGGCGGGGGAGTTGTAGAGTCGCCGCCCACTTCCACATCCTGCCGGACATGCTTAGTTTCTTTTTTATAAATTTTTAAAAATCTAATTTTGAGGTTATGTTTTTGTAATGTTTTTGACTATAAACCTAATTTATGTGAGAAGAGAGTTGGCGGAGGGAAGCACCACGTAGCGCAGTCAAGGGAAGGCCGGTCAACGGAGCCCCGATTCGCGGGGCTCCTACTTCTGAGTGGTTTACAAAAAAAATAACCACGAAGGGAATGGCAGGATCTATTCGCTCGCTTCGCTCACTCACTCGACCCCGCCATCCCCTTCTAACCTAACCTGTCCGAGTCGGGGTGCCCTAAGTCCCGAGCTCGCTTCGCTCGCTCTTGCACTCAACAAAACACCAAAATTTATCTTTTATAATTACTTTTAATTATAAACACAATATATAATACAAGAATAACCACACTATGGCTCGCACAGGTGCCTGCAATTTGCTGGGGCTGCTCTCCCTCCGCACCTATGGCTTTACAAAAAGACTTTAGGAGTAGGGCAGACAAGACTATGTGGATTTGGAGCGTGCTGATTTAATTTTAGAACAGATTCGATCAGATCGGATATCTATAGTCAGGTTGCCTTTGCTCCTGCCACAGACACAAAATTCTGTACGCTATCCAGCTTTCACAGTAATATCGTATAATTGTTTCTCAGAAGGGCTAGAACTCAGAGCCGTAAAGTCAGTTATTAATAAAAATGTATGATTTTCCATACATTATTCCATTTTAGGTTATAATAGTTTTTATTTATTTTTTCGATAACGGTGCATTACCTTTTAATGTGAGTGGTATTATTATAATCGGGGACCAAACCTCTACCAAATAAAACACCTTACTCCCCCAAATTCCTGCCAAACGATTCTAAATCCAATCCCTACCACCACCCATGAACAACCGCAACACCAGGGGAATTGCAGGTGCACTGCCAGTCTTTTAGAAAGGAATATGCTCATTTCTTTTAGGTCCGTAAGTCATATCGGTCCGGAAAAATCGCCGATCGTAAACAGTTCCACAGAGAAGTTGTAAGAATAAAACTCCTAATAAAACGCACATTGGTGGACCGCCAAGCGTCTAGATGGTGAGGATGGTATCGTGAATTTTGGCAAGACGTGCGTTCGTGAAATTTCGATCTGGAAATAATCCCAACAATTCCTCAGAACACTCTTCATAGACGCGAAGGTAGAAAATATCAAAACATTACATAAATAATCAACATTATACACAAATAGATAACCTGAGTATGTGCTTCTCTTCGCCTTTCCTTGAAACTCAGTGCTGAAGCCTTATCTCCACTATCATCTTCATCCTCTAGAACACAGGTATAAACATAATTGAAATGTCCTTTTATTTATAATAAAACTACTATCATATAAATAAATTCTTAACACGTAACATCAAGATAAATATATAAATCTATCTCATAAAAATTCTAACCTGAATTATGATTTGAAGATGAAGGAGTTTGATGAATATTTTGAATCGAGCCACTACTTGCACATCGAGGATACATCGCATAAAAAAGATGTTTATTATTATATATTAAGGATAGAAAACAAAACTTATAAAATTATACAAAAGAAACACCAAAATAAACACATTACGCTGTTTTTACTTTATTTTATTAACTGCAGTGTTGCCAACTGCTAGCTTTAACCAGTAGCTAGACTAGACATTTTCAAAATGTTGCTAAATGTTACAGTAGATAAGTAGGTTACAATAAAATGCCAGTTTCTAATAATCATTTTTATTCATTAATTCCAACGAGAAGTTAAATTAAGTCCTGTGTACGCAATTGAATAAAAAATAAAAAATTAAAAATAAATTAATCAATTAAAGAGAAAGATGTCGATGGCTGGGGTTCAGTATCTTTCATTGATTTCGAATATTTTTCAACGGTGCCCATTTTATGCAGTACGTCTTTAGGGAAAACACGGTTATAGCAGCATTTACCAATTTTCCTGAGGGAGTCTCTAATGGAAAGGATTGAGTTCAGAGTTTTCAAACTCATTCTGTTTCTTTGCTTATTTTTAACTAAATTCATTTGAGAGAATAACCTTTCTACCTCTGCATTAGAATGTGGCAGTGAAAGGCAAGTTAAAGCAAGAGTACTTATATCTTGATATATGTTGTCACCTGAAGAATTTCTAATTTTTTTTACTTCGACTCAAAACTGAACTATTTCTTCAGAATGCCACTTTATTTATATTTATATGTAGAATGTGCCACTGTTGCATTATCTTGTCTATTATTTCTGGTGTAAATCCCAAAATTTCAGCAACGTCGATGATAGTGTTTGACTTGATTGTTTTTATTGCCTCCTCTGGACTTAGCAACGCCATTGATTCTAGCTGCTTGTAGTTGTCTGGAAGCCTTTGTTGCAATTCCTTAAGTAATTGCAGTAAGAAGGCGGAGTAACGTTGTCGTATCGCATTTAAAATTACGGAGTCTAAATTAAGTTGAGCAGTTTCAAACATGTAGCCAAGATAAGGCCTAGGGTTAATATTCCTGTCAGTTATTGGATCTAATAAGTTTCTGTTTACAGGTCTTGGCATTAAAATTCTCTGGCTCACTGATTCTATCAGTGTTGTGAGTGTATTGAGAACTCTAATCCATTAAGGATTAGAGTTTTCACTTTCAAATGATTTAATTGCTGTTTGAACATCATTTAAAACGCTTCTCAGAAACACAAAATATAATTAATTTTTTGTCTTCGAGCATGTTGTAAGTAAGCTCAGCTGATTAGCAATTGTCTTTCCCTCTTTCTAAATTAAAATGTATTTTCAATTCTTCCCATTGTGTCACAATTTTTGTTATCGCTGGCTCTATTGAAAGCCAACGTGTATCGCACACCTTGGTGATTTTCAACGGACTTTCGCCACAGTTTATAAGTTCGTATATTTTTGTGTATTCGTCTCGCCGCTTAGGAGACACAGAAAACCATTTATAAATTTCTCTAACCAAAAACTCTAAATTTCTTGGCAGAGTATTTTCGGAGGTATGGGTCACTGCTAACTGCAAAGAGTGGCAGACACATCGTATCAGTATCAAATTTTCTATACCATATTCTCTTTTTAGGATTGCACGAACCCCGTTATTAATGCATGGTTATTAATATAGATCAGTCATAACAGATGCATTATCAGTTCCAATTCCAATCATTTGTTTGATATTGTTACGAGCTTAGGGTTCGTGACAGTAAAAACTGCCGACGGAATTACCAAAATTAACACTTTAATTCACTTTACAACAATTAAAACTTAAAAGACACTAATAATTAATCACACTGATTTACTTTGTTTCGCTCCGAAGCTTCGCTCGTATCGCCAAATTCAATACTGCCCCGATCGCGGCCCGCAGCTGCTTTAAATACATCTTTTACACCGAAACATCCAGAATATTCCAGTACATACGAGCGCCGAACGACCAATCGCAGAAAGTTCGAGTGTGGGGCTTCTAGAAAGCTTAATTCTTCTGTTCGATACTAGATGGCGCTGTTGGTCGAAAGTTCAAGATTGACATTTTCTAGGAAGCCCTCCCCGCTCTGGCCCCCGACACTAGATGGCGCTAGTGCCAGATACCAGACGTCAACTTAGGCGCGCAACCCTGCCTAACCCTGTCCTAAGACATGCTCGTCCCGAGCATTATCGGCCCCATAATCACGCGCCAGGCGATCCACATGGACGATCTTAGGAATCCCTCTTGCGCCTTTCTGAAACGGCTCCGCAATGTCAAGGGCTGTCCTATCCCATGGTGCACCAATATTGTACAATTCCGATGGTCCTCTACTACGTGTCTGAGGTCCATTCACAAAATAGAAATAGAAACTTTTTTATTCAATGTAGATTATAAAAATACTTATTGAAAGTCACTTTTTTAATTTACCACTGGTTCGCAAAAAAACCTCTGTCCTGGGAAGAACCAGCAAGAAACCCAGCGGGACTATTTTTTTTAATAATAGCTTACAATCATGTTTACAATCAACAACACAAGACAAATTAGAAATAGCTTGGTAGCGATCACCCTTCCCAGGGGTTATTATCATCTATAAATTCCTTAATATTATAATAACCCTTTTTATACAAACTTAGTTTAATAACATTTTTGAACTTTGTGTATGACAAATTTTGTATATTTTCTGGGATTTTGTTGTAAAAGCGTATACATCGCCCCAAGAATGAATTACTGACTCGGTGGAGTCGAGTAACTGGTACTACCAGCTTGTGTCTGCTCCTAGTATTTACAGAATGAATATCACTTATTTTCGCAAAACTACTTTTATTTTTGTGTACGTACATTACATTTTCATAAATGTATTGAGAGGCCAGAGTTAATATATTAATTTCTTTAAATTTTTGTCTCAGTGACTCTTTTGGTTTTAAATTATATATTGCTCTAATGGCCCTCTTCTGTAAAATAAATATAATGTCAGTGTCACAGTCGCACAACTTGTACATATGCGACACCAATCCTCGACATCGTAACGATAATGTACTCAGTAAAACTGTTCTCGGATCTTCAGTAGAGTTCGTTTAATTCCCAGATGGACTCCTGAACAACCATTATGGTACAGCTGTAGAACATTCGGCACTTTAGCTTTAGGGACAACCATTTGCAAACGACAGTTGTATCCTCGATCATTGTCCCATTTACGGCACAGGACTCCATCCTGAATCAGCGAGCTGTCCCATTGGGCCCAATAGCTTTTAGTGGTCGAACACATCGCTGAGACGTCGCTCCAGCTTGGGCTTGGTAGCACGGGCCTTCATCCATTCCAGAATCGGCTTGATGTGCGGATCTTCCTGCTGTGCATATTGTAAACTGTTCTTCCACTCGTTGCCGAGGTGGTCTGTCCTGGTCATCCTCACGGATACCACTTCCTTACTCTCTTGCCTAGTACTGCTCTCGCAATCATCAGGATAAGGTCTTCTTGACAATGCATCTGCGTTGCCATGCGATTTCCCGCTGCGATGTTCAATCACAAAGTCGTATTCCTGCTGCTGGGTGGTGCTGTTAGCCGCACAACCCTCTCGAGATCGATCAACTTCCCTTTTCACAGATCGCTTAGGGCAGCTGGATCGAAGATGGCCCCTTTCCCCACAACTGTAGCAGTTTGGGCTGTAATTTTTATTGTGGTCGCGAACCGTAACTGCTGCAACCTCCCTAAAGTGAGGGGAACGATGATCCTGCCGCCGCCAGGCGGTGCCGTTAGCTGCACTACCCTCTCGAGATCGATCAACTTCCCTTTCTACAGTTCGCTTAGGGCAGCTGGATCGAAGATGGCCTCTTTCCACACAGCCATAGCACCTAGGGCTGTATCCATTATTGCGGTCGCGAACTGTAGCTGCTGCAACCTCCCTGACGCGATGGGAACGAAGATCCTCCCGCACAGCTTCAACTTCAAGTGCAAGCCTTACAGCAGCTCTGACTTCAAAGTCACGGATGCCGCCGATGAATGTCTGCACCAGGTTCCCTTCATTGAGCGCAGGTACAGATCGGTATGCTTTTCGCACCAGCTTCTCCACCTCTAGAGCCCACTGCTGCAGGTTTTCGTTGATGCGCTGCACCCGATCTTTAAGCTATGCACGAAAAACGTGTTTCAGATGAGCGTCGCCATATTTCGCCTCCAATGCCTCAAGGAGCTGCTCGAAGGCCACTTTCTTACCGAGAGCTTCCAACACAGTTAAGGCTTGGTCGCGCAGGCCTAGGGTGAGTGCAGTCATGGCCTGGCTTTTATTCCAGCCGTTCGCCTCCATGACAGCCTCGAACTGGATTTTGTAGGCTGACCAGGAAGAAGTCTCGTCGAACGGCGGCACTTTGAACCCACGTAGCGAAGGTGTTGTAGCTACTACGGGAGCTGTAATTCCAGAGTATATTTAGTAATATTAAATTTATTATAAATAATATTTAGTATAATAGTAATTGTAGTTTTCTTCACGTCAGCCATCACGTTGTCAACTCGATTGTTCACTTGGTCGATTCGAGTTTCAGCTTTCTCAATTCGGGTTTCAGCTTTCGCGATTTGGGTATCAGCTTCCGACAGGCGGTTGTCATGCTGAGTAACCCTATCCTTCACCTCCTTTATCTCCTTCCCGAAGGTAGCGTGAAGGTCCTTCATGAGGAGCATCTGCTCTTCCAACCGACGGGCCTGTTCCTCTTGCCCGCCCCGCAGCTGCTCTTCCAAACGACGGACCTGTTCCTCCTGTCGACGGACCTGTTCCTCCTGTCGTCGGGCCTTTTCATCCTGTCCGCCCCGCAGCTGCTCTTCCAACTGACGGACCTGTTCGTCCTGTCAGCGAGCCTGTTCCTTCTGTCGGCGAGCCTGTTCCTCCTGCTGCTCTTTCAACCAACGGGCCTGCTCCTCCTGTCGGCTAGCCTGCTCCTGCAGCATCACCATCAGAGCACCTAAGTCAGGTGCTGCAGATGTAGAAGCTACTGACGGGCCAGCCTCCGTGGCTGGCAGTTGGCCATCTGACGTCTGCGTTGCACCACCAAATCGTCTCTGGTCCGTCTCCTGCTGGCGTTGACTTCGGGTACGGAAACCCTCCATTTCCTCCATAGGTAAAATCGGCATGATTTTATCCCACTTCTGACACCAATTGTTACGAGCTTAGGGTTCGTGACAGTAAAAACTGCCGACGGAATTACCAAAATTAACACTTTAATTCACTTTACACCAATTAAAACTTAAAAGACACTAATAATTAATCACACTGATTCACTTTGTTTCGCTCCGAAGCTTCGCTCGTATCGCCAAATTCAATACTGCCCCGATCGCGGCCCGCAGCGGCTTTAAATACACCTTTTACACCGAAACATCCAGAATATTCCAGTAAATACGTGCACCGACCGACCAGACGCAGAAATTTCGAGTGTGGGGCTTCTAGAAAGCTTATTTCTTCTGTTCAATACTAGATGGCGCTGTTGGTCGAAAGTTCAAGAATGACATTTTCTAGGAAGCCCTCGTCACTCTGGTCCCTGACACTAGATGGCGCTAGTGCCAGATACCAGACGTCAACTCAGGCGCGCAATCCTGCCCCCTCCTAAGACTGTGTAACTTAGGGCGAAACAATATCTAAGTTGTGACTCTCTAAGCAAGCACCAAGCCATTAACGATTCCCCTAGCATCTGCACTCTCAATAGAAACTAGTTCCAGGAATGAGCTTACTATCCTTTCCTGTGCGGCACTATAATACCTAATTACAAGACCAAGGTGTTTACTGACACTGGCGTCTGTGGACTCATCCATTATAATGCTGAACTTTTGGTTTCCAATATCATCTAGGAGCTCCTTGCAAAAGTGCGACATTAGCACATTTTTCATTATTTCTGTACATTTAGTGCGATGCAATTTAAGCTCCTGTGTAGCTTTGGAGTCTTTGAAACACATTTTGCATAGTTCACCTAAATGGTCAACACTTAATATGGAACAGTGCTCCGCAATAAATAAGGTCAATGCGCCTTCAGATTCAACGCAAGGTCTAAATAAATGGTCTTTTGGTACCTGTAAGGACAAAATTAATATACATGAGGACCCTAGACGCAAAATATTATTTGACCTATTTGACCTTGATTATATGAAATTGGTAAAATGAAAATATCAAACTCATTTTTCCTATCGATAGAGTCTGATATCAACATAACGAATTTTAAATACATTCACGTACCTGTTTTGAACTCTACTTTCTGTTTATGCTTTTTGGTCTCATCCTTCTTTATATCAAACAGTTTAGCAAGAATCTCTGTAGAACAATATGTGCAAAATGCTTTGCTTGAGTTTCCACTAGCCGATTTTAGCCAACTTTTAAATTCGTCCATATTTTCCCACTCCGGTCTGTATTTCTGTGCGTAGGTTTTTTTTTCAAAGGTAAATCCATTTTCATTAAATTAGTTTTATGTGGATAAAACTAAACAACACAAGGTAGAATACGAATAGCGCGTACTATTTTAGTTTACTACGTAGTTTGTCGCAGAGGAAACGGGGAATTCCCGGCCAGCGTCGACCTGTACTTACCGTAGCATCTATGACCATAAATTTCTTTTCTTTCGACTCGGCACACCACTCGAGGAATTTCGATAGACTCACGTCTCATGATGAAACGAAATGCTGCTAGAAAAAGTAGCTAAAAAGTTTAGCTACAAGTTTTATTAAATTGTAGCTGTCTGTCACCAAATAATAGCTAGAAGATAGCGGATACTACTTACCGACGGCAGCGCGGCAATAGATTCTACAAATTTTCAGGGACAGGCCGGCTATGCTTTAGTACGAAGCGATCGTTCTCATGTTCTCTAACCTCCATGGTTTTCTCACAGAGTAAAGCACCTTATGCATGGTCCACCTTGACGTATGTCCGCTCAAGGCCGTGCGAGCATCCAGCGTGCAAGTTTAGCTTATAGTATCTCAAGAAGGTCATGAAAAGAATATTTTTGGAACTAGTGCTTTTGCTTGTACTAGTAACAATAATAAATTATTCTCAAACTGAGTAACTCAGCTGTCATATCGTAGCTATAATATAGCGATTCATAGGTCCATGAAGTTGGCACCCGGAAATAATTATTAAAAATGCGACTAGTATAAATCGATTGCGCGTAAAAAATGATGTTTATCGGTACTAATTATTTGTTTGCACGTCAAACATTTGTTTAGATATTTAAAAAATAAGGCGGGTGCTTTGAAATAATAAATATTTATTTTTTGCTTAAAAATGACGGTAAAAGAATAATTAAACAATGTAAATTTGTAGGATTTCACATGCGCAATCAGCACCCGATATCAGTTTATCCATAAGTTATCTATTAACATCGTAAATAAATAATCCCATAACTTCAGCCGCAGCGTCCGAGCTCCAGAGTGCAATATCCCTAGTACGCTAGCGCTTAAAGCGCTTTTTTCTTTAGTTGGCAGCAACAGCTTCCTAAAGAGCTTTGCCAAAAACTTATTATATTATTTATGACTTTATAGTTTAAAATCTTTTTAGTTTCCATAAAAAGTTATAGTTAAAAATTGAAACCTCTTTTATTATATTTTCAAATAAAAAAAACATGTTGGTGGTCATCCTGGAGCCTTTGTAGTAGTTGCATCGCTTTGATATTGGGTTATCTTCTGGCGGTTATTTTGAAAAATTGATCATGTCTCTGTATAGTAACACAATATCCGTGTGCCGTTCAGCCACATCTCCAGTACTGCGATAACGTGATCATAACCTTGATATCACGTTTTGGCTGGTGTGCAGGGCCTCAGCAACGAGGCATTGTACATTTTGTAACATGCCCATGGCTTGTAACATTTTATCTCGACTCATTCATTAATATCAATATAACAATATTTTGACGGCTTCGTGCTGCAGTAGCTTAGCAACGAGTTACAGCGCTAAGGCGCTAAGGGTTCGAATCCCGTACGGAACTAGTATTTGTATGGTCTACAAGTAATTGTTCCGGGTCTGGATGTTTGTCCTTGTGAAATTTATGTTTGTAAACTGCCTCCACGATACAGGAGAAAATCCTAGTTTGTAGGTAACGTTGTTTAACAAAATATTAAAAAAATATAAATTTTCCTTCTTATATACAGGCTAGAATGCTTAGGTATTAGGGATACTCCGCTCATGCTTTTTAAAAGTTACCTACAGGAAAGAACTCAGGAAGTAAAAATAAATGACTTATACAGTGAGAAAGCCACTACTAGTTTTGGAGTCCCACAGGGTAGTGTCCTGGGCCCGACTCTCTTTTTAATATACATAAATGATCTATGTAATCTAAGGGATGTCGGGTGCAGGATATACTCCTACGCGGATCACACTGCGCTTGTTTTTACTGGTAGCACCTGGAATAATGTCCAAGAAAGTACTGAGAGGGGATTAATTAACGTATATAACTGGCTTAGAGACAACCTTCTTACCTTGAACACTCAGAAAACTAACTACATCTGCTTCACTCCTTCTAATAAATCCCAACCTAACCATAACTTTGCCATTAAAATTCAAACTTGCACTAACCCTGGTAACCTGATTTGCGACTGTCCTATTATTGAAAAAGTTAGCCAAACTAAATACCTAGGTATAATGCTGGACCAACGACTTAGCTGGCACTCACATTTGGAGCTTTTAACAAACCGCACTAGGAAACTCATATGGGTATTCAAATCGCTACGGCAGGTCATGTGTAACAAACTTAAAAACCGAATCTACGTGGCCCTGGCCCAATCGGTGCTCACCCACTGTATCTCGATTTGGGGAGGACCAGACAAAACTCACTTCCTTGCACACGAAAGAGCTCAGAGATCACTTATCAAAGTCATCTACTCCAAACCTTATCGTTTTCCCACTGATAAACTATATAGAATGAGTGGCCTACTCACAGTCCGAAAACTCTATATTCTGAATCTCATCTTAACGTGCCACAAATCTCTACCTTATGTCGACCTGAGTCATAAAAGAAAGAAGGATGTCGTTGCACCCATCACTGCCGCACGTACTGCGTTCGCTAGAAGACAATATAGTAGGCAGTCTGCTTATATATACAACAAAGTAAACCGTATACTTAAAATATACCCCATGTTATCTTACACTTGCAGGAAAACTGTAAAAGAATGGTTGGATTCACTTAGCTATGAAGATGTTGAAAACCTTTTCATAAGAATTTGTTAAAATGTTTGGTTCAATTAATGCTGGTTCCTGTATGCGGAATGTTCATACCGATCCCAAGGAACCTTATCCGTAGGGCATACATGTAACCAACACATGCACACTCCCATACAGACAGGAGCTCGTATACACACATACATACACTCATTCACACACTACGTGCACATATACATGTACACACACACGTACACACACACACACACACACACACACACACACACACACACACACACTCCACACGCACACACATGTACAGACGCACACAAACATATATACACACTCACGCACATTTTATATACTACCATACATGCTTACATGAAAATAGTTCATTGCCACAGAGCCGTAATTTAAATTTAAATTATATCAAAAATGTTATATTTCAATGTAAAAAAAAAAATGTTAAACCATACCATCCTAAACTAACCTTTTAGATATAATATACCTACCTCGTTTATCTTATTTAGCCAATCGTAAGGGAAGTAGCGAGTTATTCCCAACACAAGTGTCTCTGACTACTTAAAGGGAAGACTCGACAAATATTTGTAATAGGATTTTTGGAAATAAAGGAAATTTTTAATTTTTTTTTCCTTGGCGTAACAAATTACTAACAATTTTGCCGCCATATTTTTTTCTTTTGTTTTTTTTTTCAAAATAAAGAAAACATCATTTTTTACGCGCAATCGATTTAATCTGGTCTTATTTTTAATAATTATTACCGGGTGCCAACTTCATGGACCTGCGATTCATAGCGATGGGTAACTATATGGAGGGAGTGTAGAGGTAAGGAGTAGACTGTATAAAAAGTGTCCGTAGGAAAGCACTTAATAGGTGGCGCCACTATAGCTATAGTCTAAATTTTAAAGTACTTTTTATAATTTTTTTATTGCACAGATTTTCACTATAATTATTTTTACAATAATTATTTTATTGCTTCCAAAATTTTTATTTTCAAAATCACTCAATGTATTTTACGGTGATTTATCATACCATGTAGCTACTCAAGCGCTGTTGTGGATAGGTTCTGAACTGTTATTTATTACTTTCAGAAGGACACATATCAACTATTCTCCTATGGGAGATTGTCCTCCTTACCTCTATACTCCATGGGTAAGTAGCTAAAAAATTTTTTTATAGGATAGGGTGACAAACAGCACACGTCCCCTGTGGTAAGTGGTTGTTTTTTTAGAATAAAGTTTAACTAGATGGAATGCCTCGTTTCAGTAAAAGGTTCGGTTCTCTACACTCACCATACGAAACACAGCAGCATTAAGCTACTATTTCAGCTGGTATTCTATCTAATCCCAATAATCTGGCTAGCCAGTTATTTGTGGTGGAATAGCCAGCTAGATAACCAGCTATTTAGCTATTTGGCTATTTAGATAAATAACTCACGAAGCAACCGATAGTTCATACCGTTAGTGTAGCCATCGTAGTGTAGCTACGACTTGAATAATGCTCAACTGCCCTGTGATTACCTTCGAATCTCGCCGTGAAACATGTTTATATTTAGGTAAATAAAAAATAATGATAACGTAGCATCCTCTGTAGCAGCTACCCGCTGCGTCGTAGCTTGTCGGATAACCGAAGCGCCTCTAACCAAAGTAGTCAATAGCTAGTTATGGTGTTGACGAATATCATAGCCGTGGCTATTTTGTGAATAGCCTCTATTTAGTTAGCTACTTGAATAGCTAAAGTACGGCCAACGAGAAGCGATACCAAATGTAAATAAAATCAATGCAAGGGTATTAGGAATAGCAATGATGCGTAACTTTTTGGTAATTAGACTATATATTTAAGTAGACAATATAGTTTTAAAAAATGTCTAGCAAACCAAAAAAAAAAAAGACTTTTTATAAATTTTGTTATAATTTGAATTATTGTATAATGTCGATTTAAATTAAATAACGAGGATACTAATAATATTTCCGAATATTGCTTGCCTAACAACTGTGTACCCGGTGTATGATAACAAGCTTGCCCCTTGTTACATAGGGACTTAAATATATCAGGCAAAATGTGGGTGTTAATATCTCTGCCTACCCCTTAGGGGATACAGGACTGATGACATGTTATGTTATGTTTATGGAAATGAGGATAATTTTTTTTTTGGAGGAAATCATTGTTTATCAGTCAGAGGCCGATTCTTCTGAGTCTGTAGAGTCAGAATCAGAGTCTATTACACGTATGATAAATTTATCCGTCACGTCATCTACAATAAAATCAAGTTTGAATAACTTATCTTCTTCATTTTTAACATGCTCCACACATTTCTCCCACCCATCAGGCGTGACTTTCATCATACCGACACATAATAATGCCTTAACTTTTTAAATTTAAACGTAGTATTGTTTCCAGCTACGTGCCCCTTTACATCAGCCCAAATCAACTCAATGTGGTTTAATTCACAATGATAAGGGGGAAGTCTTAGAACCTCGACACCGTATTTCTTTGCT